GAACCTATTGGGATGTCAAATGGAACAAGACAGGGAGGCCCACTGCCCCCATTGTTGTATGTATTGTCAATGGAACCTTTACTGGCAACAATTAGGAAAAATATGGACATAAAAGGAATACAGATAGGAGGAATTGAACATAAAGTGGCAGCCTTTGTGGACGATCTGTTGTTCTATGTGGGAAATACTAGGGTAACACTCCCAAATCTAATGAAGAACTTAAAGGATTATGGGGAGTTATCAAATTTGAAAATTAACCCAACAAAAACTGAGATCTTAAATGTAAACCTTCCAAATAGTGAAAAAGAAAAGATACAAAAAGAATTCCCTTTTATATGGAAAGATAGAGAGATAAAATATCTAGGGGTTAAACACACTGCTTCATATACGATCTTGTATAAAGCAAACTATATCTCACTTTTAAATGAGATTAAGGAGGAACTAAAGAAATTGGGAGGAGGTAACCCGTCTTGGATAGGGCGCATAAATCTGATAAAAATGGTAATTGTACCTTAAATCCTATATAAATTCCAGATGATCCCAATTAAACTTCCGGAGGTTTTTTTAAGGTAATTAAAAAGATGTTAACAAGATACATATGGAAAAAATAAAAAACCTAGAATATCTTATGATTTGTTGAGTAGAAATAAAGAGAAGGGAGGATTGGGAGTGCCAGATTTTAAAAGGTATTATAGAGCAGTAGTTCTAGCAAGAATTTATGACTGGACACACAATCCAGAGGGGAAACAAGGTGGGTCAAGATTTAAAATGAATTAAGCGGAGTTAACTTGAGTAAAATCATATGGGTACCAGCACAATATAGAGGATTAAAAGATACCACGAGTGTTTATACATTAAATGTTTTAAAGGTTTGGGATAAACTGCACAAGTTTATGAAATGGGATTTTAATTCACAATTTATGTCACTGAGGAACATGGAGTATTTCCCTCCAGGTAGGGAGGAGAGCACAGGAAAGTGGTTTAAAAAGGAGGTTTAAACTGAGAGATATTATGGAAGGGCAGGAATTGAGAACACTTAAGGAGTTGAAAAAGGACGAAAGGGAACTTTTCATTAAAATAGACGAGTGGAGATATCACCAATTAAAACACTTTGTCGGGAGTCTTCCGAAACCTTTGAGATTGAGAAAGGATTGGAATTTGTTTGAGAGGTTGTTGGAATCACTTGGAGATGGGAAACGGGGCACGGCAAAAGTTTATAAGATTTTCACTGAGGTAGACACACAAAGCCAATGTACATAGTAAAATGGGAAAGGGATTTGGGAATAGAGATAGATGAAGACAAACAGAGAAAAATACATAGACTAATACATGAGAATGTAAGCATGAGAGAGGTGGAGGTAAACTATAAGTGTTTTAACAAGATGGCACATTGCACCGAACGTTGAATATAAAATGAGTGGGGAAAATAAACTAGAGTGTTGGCAGGGGTGTGGAAAGATAGGTACGTTATATCACATATGGTGGGAGTGCCCAAAGATTCAAGGTTATTGGGAGACAATGGTTCATTTAATTGGGATAATCTCTGGGATAAAGATAGGATTGGATCCAGAGTTGTGTCTATTACATAGTACAGAGTTATCAGTGAACTAATACAAGGATTCGGGTATATGGTACTATCTGACTGCGGCAAAGGGTCTGATACCTAAGTTTTTGGCATAGTTTAGAGGTGCCGAGAAAAGAGGATTGGGTAGAAAAAGTGAACCAGATATGTAAGATGGAGAAACTGTATTATATGCAAGAAGACATGATGGGGTTATATTACAGGAGGTGGGGAAAATGGGAAGATTTTGTGCCCAAGGTGAAATATATGAAGCAGTAGAGAGGGATATGTGAAAGTACCCCTTATTTAGGAAAAGAGGCAATGGAGAAATGCAGAGTGGGTGGTTTTATTATTGGGGGGAGGGTGTTTCGGGGTGGGGGTATTAGATAAGTGGTGGGGGGTAATGGGAATAAAGATAGAAAGGGATGTAACTGATGGTTTTGTATGTATATGAGAGTAATGATGAAATATGTATTTTATATGGAAAATTAATAAATATTTAAATAAAAAAAAAAGGAATACAACACTTGAAGCCCATGTCCAGGATCCGTCTGTGTGTGGTGGCTTTTTCCTGACAATCCTCTCCAGGCTGTGGTCATCCCTGCTGTTTGTGCACCTTTTTCTTCCACATAACTTTATATTAATGTGCTTTGATACAGCACTTTGGGAACATCCAACTTCTTTTGCAATTACCTTTTGAGGCTTTCCTTCCTTATGGAGGGTGTCAATGATGGTTTTCTTCACATGATCAGCAGTCTTTCCCATGATTGTGATTCCTACTGAACCAGACTGAGAGACCATTTAAAGGCTCAGGAACCCTTTGCAGGTGTTATGGCCTAATTAGCTGATTAGAGTGGGACACTTTGAGCCTAGAATATTGCACCTTTTCACAATATTCTAATTTTCTGAGATTGTGGATTTTGGGGTTTTCATGAGCTGTAAGCCATAATCATCACAATTATGGCAAATCACGGCTTGAACTATCTTACTTTGCATGTAATGAGTTTATCTCATATATTAATATGATAATGATGTAGCGCTGTGTTAACTGTTTTAACTCTTAGGCAATAGAGATGTCAATAAACTGTCAACCAAGTAGATACTGTGATACTAATAAGTGATACATGCAGTATAAAAACAAACATATATTTATCCAAGTGATCGTATAATCATGACACACCCCTTAGCCTAAGGGTTAAAACAGTTAACACAGTGCTACATCATTATTATATTAGTTCTATTCATATTTCCATCTAAAGGTGAGGATTGGATATAAGCTGCTTTTTCATTTACATAGTAGACACAGCAGCGCAGGAGGATTTATTACAACATTATCTCATATACTGTATTAGTTTCACCTTTTAAGTTGCATTACTGAAATAAATGAACTTTTAGTCTAATTTTTTGAATTTCACCTGCATATATATATATATATATATATATATATATATATATATTGTGACAGTAGGAATGGCGAGGTGATCGATGGATGCTATGGGGTTTATTTACTAAAGCTGGAGAGTCCAAAATCAGACTCCCTTTTGCATAGAAACCAATCAGCTTCTAACCTCAGTTTGTTCAATGAAGCTTTGGCAATGAAACCTGGAAGCTGATTGGTTTCTATGCAGAAGGGAGTCTGATTTTGGACTCTCCAGCTTTAGTAAATAAACCCCTATGTGTCACCTCGCATTCGGTCATACTTGGGAGTTTGAGTTAAAATCTATAGAGATGAGCGAATCGAACCAGGTGAACCGGAATTCGAGTCGAATTTCAGGAAATATTCGATTCGCGGCGAAACCGAAATTTTGCCTACTTCGGGTGCGCGAATCGAACACATTTCCCGATCAGCCGGCAAAAGTGTCCCTGCAGTGAGCTCCGCTATTTCTGACAGTTCTCTGACAGAAGGAACACATGTTTAGCGGTTGAAACATTGTATCTATTAGTTTACATTTAGGATACAGATGTTTCAACCACTGTACATGTGAAGAAGCTGTGAGAGAACTGTCAGAAATAGAGGAACTCTTCACATACACTTTTTGCCGGCTTGGAATTATTCCATACAGTGGTTGAAACATTGTATGTATTTGTTTCCATAAATGGATCCATTTATGGAAACAAATACATACAATGTTTCAACTGCTGTGTGGAAGGACAGTCTATGGAAACAAATACATACAATGTTTCAACCGCTGTATGGAAGGACAGTCCCAGAACTGTCATTAATAGTCTATTTCTGACAGTTCCATGAGAATGTCATGGAACTGTCAGAAATAGACTATTAATGACAGTTCTGGGACTGTCCTTCCATACAGCGGTTGAAACATTGTATCTATTTGTTTCCATAAATGGATCCATTTATGGAAACAAATAGATACAATGTTTCAACCGCTGTATGGAAGGACAGTCCCAGAACTGTCATTAATAGTCTATTTCTGACAGTTCTATGACATTCCCTCCATACAGCGGTTGAAACAGCTGTATGGAGTGAATGTCCCAGAACTGTCAGAAATAGACTATTTATGACAGTTCTGGGACATTCACTCCATACAGCGGTTGAAACATTGTATCTATTTTTTTCCATAAATGACATTCTGCAAATACACTTAGAGGAGCGCTGCAGATACACTTTTTGCCGGCTTGGAATTATTTTATTTTCATCCTACTTCTTCTTCTTCATCCTCATCCTCATCCTCATAAGAGGAGAAAAAGAAGAAGTAGGATGAAAATAAGAATAATTCCAAGCCGGCAAAAAGTGTATCTGCAGCGCTCCTCTAAGTGTATCTGCAGAATGTCATTTATGGAAAAAAAAATAGATACAATGTTTCAACCGCTGTATGGAGTGAATGTCCCAGAACTGTCATAAATAGTCTATTTCTGACAGTTCTGGGACATTCACTCCATACAGCTGTTTCAACCGCTGTATGGAGGGAATGTCATAGAACTGTCAGAAATAGACTATTAATGACAGTTCTGGGACTGTCCTTCCATACAGCGGTTGAAAACATTGTATGTATTTGTTTCCATAAATGGATCCATTTATGGAAACAAATACATACAATGTTTCAACCGCTGTATGGATGGAAGGACAGTCTATGGATCAACCGCTGTATGGAAGGACAGTCCCAGAACTGTCATTAATAGTCTATTTCTGACAGTTCCATGACATTCCCTCCATACAGCGGTTGAAACAGCTGTATGGAGTGAATGTCCCAGAACTGTCAGAAATAGACTATTTCTGACAGTTCTGGGACAATCACTCCATACAGCTGTTTCAACCGCTGTATGGAGGGAATGTCATGGAACTGTCAGAAATAGACTATTAATGACAGTTCTGGGACTGTCCTTCCATACAGCGGTTGAAACATTGTATCTATTTGTTTCCATAAATGGATCCATTTATGGAAACAAAAATACATACAATGTTTCAACCGCTGTATGGAAGGACAGTCCCAGAACTGTCATAAATAGTCTATTTCTGACAGTTCTGGGACATTCACTCCATACAGCTGTTTCAACCGCTGTATGGAGGGAATGTCATAGAACTGTCAGAAATAGACTATTAATGACAGTTCTGGGACTGTCCTTCCATACAGCGGTTGAAACATTGTATCTATTTGTTTCCATAAATGGATCCATTTATGGAAACAAATAGATACAATGTTTCAAACCGCTGTATGGAAGGACATGTCCCAGAACTGTCATAAATAGTCTATTTCTGACAGTTCTGGGACATTCACTCCATACACAGCTTGTTTTGAAAACCGCTGTCAACCGCTGTATGGAGGGAATGTCCCAGAACTGTCAAAAATAGACTATTAATGACAGTTCTGGGACTGTCCTTCCATACAGCGGTTGAAACATTGTATGTATTTGTTTCCATAAATGGATCCATTTATGGAAACAAATACATACAATGTTTCAACCGCTGTATGGAATGGACATTTATGGAAACAAATACATACAATGTTTCAACCGCTGTATGGAAGGACAGTCCCAGAACTGTCATTAATAGTCTATTTCTGACAGTTCCATGACATTCCCTCCATACAGCGGTTTGAAACAGCTGTATGGAGAATGTCCCAGAACTGTCAGAAATAGACTATTTCTGACAGTTCTGGGACAATCACTCCATACAGCTGTTTCAACCGCTGTATGGAGGGAATGTCATGGAACTGTCAGAAATAGACTATTAATGACAGTTCTGGGACTGTCCTTCCATACAGCGGTTGAAACATTGTATGTATTTGTTTCCATAAATGGATCCATTTATGGAAACAAATACATACAATGTTTCAACCGCTGTATGGAAGGACAGTCCCAGAACTGTCATAAATAGTCTATTTCTGACAGTTCTGGGACACATTCACTCCATACAGCTGTTTCAACCGCTGTATGGAGGGAATGTCATAGAACTGTCAGAAATAGACTACTATTAATGACAGTTCTGGGACTGTCCTTCCATACAGCGGTTGAAACATTGTATCTATTTGTTTCCATAAATGGATCCATTTATGGAAACAAATACATACAATGTTTCAAACCGCTGTATGGAAGGCAGTCCCAGAACTGTCATTAATAGTCTATTTCTGACACAGACATTCCCTCCATACAGCTATGACATTCCCTCCATACAGCGGTTGAAACAGCTGTATGGAGTGAATGTCCCAGAACTGTCAGAAATAGACTATTTATGACAGTTCTGGGACATTCACTTCCATACAGCGGTTGAAACATTGTATCTATTTTTTTCCATAAAAATGACATTCTGCAAATACACTTAGAGGAGCGCTGCAGATACACTTTTTGCCGGCTTGGAATTAATCTTATTTTCATCCTACTTCTTCTTCTTCATTCATCCTCATCCTCATAAGAAGATGAAAAAGAAGAAAAGTAGGATGAAAAATAAGAATAATTCCAAGCGGCAAAAGTGTATCTGCAGCGCTCCTCTAAGTGTATCTGCAGAATGTCATTTATGGAAAAAAATAGATACAATGTTTCAACCGCTGTATGGAGTGAATGTCCCAGAACTGTCATAAATAGTCTATTTCTGACAGTTCTGGGACATTCACTCCATACAGCTGTTTCAACCGCTGTATGGAGGGAATGTCATAGAACTGTCAGAAATAGACTATTAATGACAGTTCTGGGACTGTCCTTCCATACAGCGGTTGAAACATTGTATGTATTTGTTTCCATAAATGGATCCATTTATGGAAACAAATACATACAATGTTTCAACCGCTGTATGGAAGGACAGTCCCAGAACTGTCATTAATAGTCTATTTCTGACAGTTCATGACATTCCCTCCATACAGCGGTTGAAAAAGCTGTATGGAGTGAATGTCCCAGAACTGTCAGAAATAGACTATTTATGACAGTTCTGGGACATTCACTCCATACAGCTGTTTCAACCGCTGTATGGAGGGAATGTCATGGAACTGTCAGAAATAGACTATTAATGACAGTTCTGGGACTGTCCTTCCATACAGCGGTTGAAACATTGTATGTATTTGTTTCCATAAATGGATCCATTTATGGAAACAAATACATACACTTTTTTGCCGGCTTGCTTGGAATTATTCTGATTTTCATCCTACTTCTTCTTCAGAACTGTCCTTCTTCTCATCCTTTCTCCTTCTTCTCATCCTTCTTCTCATCCTTCTCCCTCATCCCTCTTCTTCTCATCCTTCTCCTTCATCTCATCCTTCTCCTCTCCTTCTTCTCATCCTTCTTCTCCTTCTTCTCATCCTTCTCATCTCCTTCTTCTCATCTCCTTCTCCATCTTCTCATCCCATCTCCTTCTCCTTCCTTCTTCCTCATCCTTTCTCCTTCTCCTCCTTCTCATCCTTTCTCTTCTTCTCCTTCTTTCTCATCTTCTCTTTCATCTTTCCTTCTCCACCTTCTCCTCTCTCTTCTCCTTCTCTAACAGTTCTCAATCCTTCTCACTCTTCTCCTTCCCTTCTCCTTCTTCTCTTCACCATCTCTTCCCTCACTTCCTTCTCCTTACTTCTCATCCTTCTCCTTCTTCTTCATTCCATCTCCTTCTACTTTCCTTCTCCTTTTTCTCATCCTTCTCCTTCTCCTTCTTCTCATCCTTTCTTCCTTCTTCTCATCCTTCTCCTTCTTCTCATCTTTCTCTTCTTCACCCCATCTCTTCACCTTCTTCTCCCTTCTCTTAATTTCTCATCCTTTCCTTCTCCTTCTCATCATCTCCTTCTCCTTTCCTTTTCTCATCCTTCTCCTTCTTCTCTCCTTCTTCTCCTCATCATCCTTTCTCTTTTTCTCATCCTTCTCCTTCTTTCTCATCCTTCTCCTTCTCCTTCTCCTTCCTTCTCTTCTCCATCTTCCTTCTTCCTTCTCCTTCTCCTTCTTCTCATCCCTTCTTCTCCTTCTTCTTCTTCATCCTCATCTCTCTTCTCCTTCTTCTCATCCTTCTCCTTCCTCTCATCCTTCTCCTTCTCCTCATCATCTTCTCCTTCTCCTTCTTCTCATCCTTCTCCTTCTCCTTCTTCTCATCCTTCTCCTTCTTCTCATCCTTCTCCTTCTCTCTCTTCTTTCTCCTTCCTTCTTTCTCCTTCTCCTTCTCCTTCATCCTTCTCCTTCTCCTTCTTCTCATCTTCTCCTTCTCCTTCTTCTCATCCTTCTCCTTCTCCTTCTTTCTCCATCCTTCTCCTTCTTCTCATCCTTCTCTCCTTCTTCTCATCCTTCTCCTTCTCCTTCTTCTCATCCTTTCTTCTTCCTTATCCTTTCTCCTTCTTCTCATCCTTCTCCTTCTCTTCTCATCCTTCTCCTTCCTTCTCCTTCATCCTTCTCCTTCTTCTCATCCTTCTTCTCATCCTTCTCTTTCTTCTCATCCTTCTCCTTCTCCTTCTCATCCTTCTCCTTCTCCTTCTTCTCATCCTTCTCCTTCTCCTTCTTCTCATCCTTCTCCTTCTCCATCTTCTCCATCTTCTCATCCTTCTCCTCTTTTCCTTCTTCTCATCCTTCTCCTTCTCTTCTCCTTCTCCTTCTCCTTCACCTTCTCATCCTTCTCCCTTCTCATCCTTCTCCTTCTTCTCATCCTTCTCCTTCTTCTCATCCTTCTCATCCTTCTTCTCATCCTTCTCCTTCTTCTCATCCTTCTCCTTCTTCTCATCCTTCTCCTTCTCCTTCTTCTCATCCTTCTCCTTCTCTCTCCTTCTTCTCATCCTTCTCCTTCTCCTTCTTCTCATCCTTCTCCTTCTCCTTCTTCTCATCCTTCTCCTTCTTCCATCCTTCTTCTCATCCTTCTCCTTCTCATCCTTCTCTTTCTTCTCATCCTTCTCCTTCTTCTCATCCTTCTCCTTCTCCTTCTTCTCATCCTTCTTCTCCTCATCCTTCTCCTTCTTCCTTCTTCTCATCCTTCTCCTTCTCCTTCTTCTCATCCTTCTCCTTCTCTTCCTTCTCCTTCTCCTTCTTCTCATCCTTCTCCTTCTCCTTCTTCTCATCCTTCTCCTTCTCCTTCTTCTCATCCTTCTCCTTCTTCTCATCCTTCTCCTTCTCTTTCCTCATCTCCAAGGGCATTTAAATTAAAGGTACAGTGTTCTGCACTAATTTAAAGGCTCTCTGAAGCCTAGAAACCCTTTTTTATAAGTCATCTTCGTAGCGAAGAAATTCGCATCGAATCGAATTTTCACACTGGAATTCGCCGAATCAGCCGAATCGAATTTTTGAGAAATTCGCTCATCTTACTCCGGGTTTTTCTGGGACACTATGGCAGAGGTGGTTCCAGACCTGATTTTGTGCTCCACTGAGGACCACCAGCAGGTGTCATAAATCAGGCAGGGCTGGAGCAAGAAGCGGCTTGTGTCCTGGGACTCAGAGAGCCATTCCTGAGTGAGCTGTGTGTGTTATACCAACAAGTAAAGGTTTGTGTATTGTTTTGTTTTGGGTGACAGGGAGAAGCCCTTCACCTGCGAGAGAGGAAAAAATTCTATGTTTAGTCAGTGCCCTGGGTAGCAAGGGTTTATTTTGTTGTTTTATTTGTTTTGATATCTTTGCAAACCTGTAAATAAAACTGACAACCAGTCAGATTTTGAAGAAAGCCTGCTGTGCGGTCTACCTTTTTCCCAGGGAAGGTGATGCCCCACCTGAGCTAACCCCACTATATATATATATATATATATATATATATATATACAGTCATGGCCGAAATTGTTGGCACCCTTGATATTTTTCCTGAAAATCAAGTATTTCACACAAAAAAGGTATTGCATTAACACATGTTTTGCTATACACATGTTTATTCCCTTTGTATGTATTGGAACAAATATAAAACAGAGGCAGAAAAGCAAATATGACATAATGTCACACAAAACCCAAAAATGGGCTGGACAAAAGTATTGGCACCCTTAACTTAATATTTGGTTGCACACCCTTTGGAAAACATAACTGAAATCAGTCGCTTCCTATAACCATCAATAAGCTTCTGACACCTCTCACCCGGAATTTTGGACCACTCTTCCTTTGCAAACAGCTCCAGGTCTCTCTTATTGGAAGGACACCTTTTCCCAACAGCAATTTTAAGATCTCTCCACAGGTGTTCAATGGGATTTAGATCTGGGCTCATTGCTGGCCACTTCAGAACTCTCCAGCGCTTCTTTGCCATCCATTTCTGAGTGCTTTTTGACGTATGTTTGGGGTCATTGTCCTGCTGGAAGACCCAGGATCTTGGACGCAAACCCAGCTTTCTGACACTGGGCCCTACAGTGCGACCCAAAATCCTTTGGTAATCCTCAGATTTCATGATGCCTTGCACACAGTCAAGGCACCCAGTGCCAGAGGCAGCAAAACAACCCCAAAACATCATTGAACCTCCACCATATTTTACCGTAGGTACTGTGTTTTGTTCTTTGTAGGCCTCATTCCGTTTTCGGTAAACAGTAGAATGATGTGCTTTACCGAAAAGCTCTATCTTGGTCTCATCTGTCCACAAGACGTTTTCCCAGAAGGCTTTTGGCTTACTCAAGTACATTTTGGCAAACTGTAGTCTTGCTTTTTTATGTCTCTGTGTC